CGACGAAGATGAGCCGGGGAGGGGGTCAAGCAACTGGAGTGGAGGCGTGCGGCGTGTCGCGTTGAGAAATTGAGTAGAGACTAGAGAGAGACTGGAGTGGAGGTTAGGGTTTTTTTAGTTGGGTTTTGGGTTTGTTAGTTATTACGAGTTTGGAACTTTGGATCCCTAAATGAACCTGAATTCTTATGTTCATTGAATTGTGGATATCCGTATCCGCAGTCGAATCTTACGCTCATGTCCATATCCGGATCCGTATTCGAAAAAAGGAACCAGATCCGTATTCGAAACCGTATCCGCCCGGTTTTAAAAATGACTTACCATATCTGTGTCCGTTCAGATACGTATGCGGATCGGTTCGGATAAAACCGAACCGTTTAGCACCCCTGTTCTTCTATATTCCTAATTCGAAGGACGAGATTAGACCATATAGGATTTTATTATTGCTATAGTGGTTTTGAAATAGCAATGATTTTCAAAAAAAAAATAGCAGTTTTCAAGACTATAGTAGTTTTTATCTCGTGGTGGTCCGATCTCGTCTCTGAAATTTAAAATGTATGATAATAAGTTGCGGAATTGGAGCCTCTTTAGAGCATCTCCAACAGCTTCCCCAAAATTTTCTTCAAAATGGAGAAACAAAAGTCATATTCTCCAAATTATTTTTGCTCCAACTCCAACAGCTTCCCCATTTTGAAAAATCGCATTTATTATAATAATAAAGCTCTCCCAAAAAATTTGGAGAATGCTGCAGATTTGGGGAAGGCTCCCTATTTTTTCTCCTCCTTCCCTATTTTGGGGAATGAGATGGGGAATCTGTTGGACCAAAAAAAAGCTCTATATTCTCCAAATTTGAGTATTTCAAGAAGATGGTGAAGATGTTGGAGATGCTCTTAATCACTACACCTAAATCAGAGAGGATCAACAATCGATATGTAATATATGACAAGGTGAACGATAAATTTACGACGTGGTTCCCAGAAAAAACTGTTATTATCTTATGATGGTTTCATATTAGAAACCCTAATCAATTTCCATCCCACCACCCTCCTCCAGCTTCACTCGAAATGTGTCCCAAAGCACCAGCCTTTTACTTTGGGGAGCCCTACATAATCAACTTCCCAATGCTTCTCTCATGGGGCTCCGGCAGCAAATACGAGGGAGAAGATTTATGACGGGAGCAATGGCGCGTTGGGCCCAACAGATTTGAAAAGGTTTTCTATTTTATTCCTCCACTTCTTTTCTTTTTAATTTCCCATCGTTAATTCGTAGAATCTCTACAAAGGAAACCCCCCACTTGCTTGTGGAAATGTCGCAATAGAATCCAATTCCTATACCACCAATTTATTCATAAAACGCAATGACCAGTTCCCTCTTGTCACTTACCAGACATCATTGTTGGGATCAAATTCTAGTAGGAAAATGGTAGACTCTGACTGAAATTAATTGTGAAATGGGTTTGTGCAGAAATCATTGTTGGTGAATTGAATTCTGAGTTGTTTTGGTTTTGTGATGTAGAGCTATAAGTATGGAAATGAAAGGTGCCCGATATCGGCGGCAATGGGAGGGCACGGAGGAAGCCCGTGGGACGACGGGGTTCACACAGGGATACGGAAGGTGGTTGTTGGCCATGGAGCTTCGATTGATTCGATTCAGGTTGAATATGAATGCAAAGGGAGCTCAGTTTGGTCGGAGAAGCACGGTGGCAGTGGTGGAACCAAAACTGACAAGGTTAGTAGAACTGTTGTGCATGTGATATTTATGACATAGCTTTTTGCTTTTTATCATTCTCTATTAATGTCTTGATTGGAGTTTAGCTTTCTCTGTAGTATGATATATGAAACGGAGTTCATTTTGAATTTCACACATGTTACATAGTAGCTAGATTTTTACGCAGGAATGTGTGTGCAGATTGAAATCTCACACTATGATTTATAAATAAGTGGCCACCAGTCCTTGTTCTTGCTTCATCCACATTGATTGAATTGGTTGTGGTTCAGAGTGCTCTGATGCATGGACAGGTTTTCACCTGTGACTGATGAGGCCATATGCTGGTTTTTGTTCCATTTCTTACTTTGTTGTGATCTTTTAACTTTTAGCATTTAGTACTAGAGCATAGCTCATTGTAGTATTGTACTGTTTATCATTTGAGGATGGAGTTGTGAGGATATGCCTGGTCTAGATTGAGCCTCGCCAAACATCGTCTTCATTCAAAGTGATGCTTCCCCTCAAGCAGGATGCTTAAAACATAAATCATGTTAAAGTTCAAGCATATGGTAATTTTAGATAGCATTCCACCAGGAAGGTCTATGGATGTGGAAATCTCAACCACTTTGAAGCGTTTATCACTTGCTATTCCATAAATAAATGATCTCTAAACCTTGTTCTACTCAACACTTAGAATGATCACCAATATCTTAAGGGGACTATATGTACAAAGATATTACTATTGAGGGATTATCTTTGGTTTGTGAATTGGGATAGTTGAGAGGACATCCATCTATCCTCAGTAAGGACATAGTTGCAAGGAATCTGCTTCATTCTGGTTCATAGAATGGATGATTAATTATAGTTCGGTACCCTGTGGTATAATGTAATTACACGGGCGACCTTGAGGTTTGGGTATCTATACGAATAACCCTGAGGTTGCTAACTTGTATCGCTGCAGCCCAAAATCTAACAGTTTCTTAACACCTTTTGTTTTTCTCCTAAAATGTCAACTAGCACAATATGGAAATTTCTAAAATATTCTTTTGACATTTTGACACCTTTGTGGTATAATGTAATTGCACCATGACCCTAGGGTCTAAGTATCTACAAAGGTAGACCTAATTAGTCCCTTAAATCATTTTATTAGGAAAGTAGTCCCTCAAATCTTCGAGTTATTTTGTCAAAACTTTAAAGTTCCTCATTAGTCCCTCAAATCATTTTATAAAAGGGTTATTTAGATACTAGTCCCACAAATCTTCAGTAATTTTATATTAGCCCTCAAATCATAAGCAATTTCAAGGATTTGAAGGACTAATACGAAATTACTAAAGAATTGAAGAACTGATTTCTAAAAACCCTTTCATTAAAGGATTTGTTTCTTAATAATTCGTTCAACTTGTTTCAATCGTTGAACTTTGTATGGTGTACTACATTCCACATAAGCAACCTGGATTAAATCCCGCCAAATGCTGAGAAAATTGTGTTTGTACAAAAGGGTATTTTTTTCTTTTCACATGCAAAGTTAAGCTTTGTTAGCACTTTCACAATGGCCATCAAACTCAGGGTTACCCATGTAGATACCCAAACCTTGGGGTCACCCATGTAGTTACATTGTACTACATGGTACCGGAATGTAATTAATCCTGGGTTGGAAAAGGGAGCATGATACACCACTTAGTTGGAATTGGCCAATGCTAGAGGGTAGACTTATATGGAACGTTAGGAAACGTGATACACTTTACATTTGGTTTTTAAGTGTAGGAATCTAAGTGTCTTAGCGTACAATTTTCTTCAAGGGTCAAATTCAAGGATGAGCAATGGTAAAAAAAAAAAAAAAATTCTAGTTGCAATTTAGGTACAACTTTTGCAATTTAGGTACAACCTTGATACGATAGAGCTAGCTCGTGGGGAATACTGTGTAGATGGAGGAGAGGATATAGGTATTGTTTATTACTATATCTTCTTCTTCGTTCACATGTATACTAAAAAGTAAAAAAGAAAATACTGTAATGAATAGTAAAAATGAACAGTAACGATGTGAACAGTAATGAACAGTAACAGCAGAAAACGGAAGCAAACTAAAATAGTAGTATTTACATAAGACGCTTACAAACTTGAAGGAAAATTTAAACACTTACAAACCAGACGTGCGGTGATGAACCGTAGTAGTAGTAGTAGAGCACACATTTATCTTACAAACACTCAAAAGAAAACTTAAAAGCAAACCTCACTCGAACTTAAACTAAAACTAAAAACTTAAAAACAAAGGGATTTCTCTAGAGAGGATCAAACTTCACTCTCCAAAACGCCTCTCCTCAACTCCTCAACTTCTTCTTCTTTTATAGACTTTTTTAGGATCTATGCAAAAGATTCCTTTCATACCCATCAAAGTTTGAGGGTCCCACCGACTTCAATTTTATCAAAACCTAAGAGATATAGAGTAGCCTAGCCTTTTTGACAAAAATTGCTTCTTCTTTACATCCAAAGCAGACTGGGTATAGACATGTAGGCTGTTATTTTATCTGCAGTTTGCTTCCTTTAGCTGTGAATGAAATTTATGTAAAAGTTAGTTATTTTTAAACTTAGAAAAAGATAATGATTGATCGACTTAGTGTTTAAGTCGTTGATATTTAATCAGTAATTATCATATATTAATGGTATATGAATTTTTCCATAAGATAATGGCATGTCACATGTCGTCCTATTTATGTGTTACCTCCTCGACCAAGTCGCTATCGATTGATATGTCACACGAAGAAACAGGTTCTTCTTCTTGACCAAAGACATGCTCTTGATATTGTTTTGCTCCCATAAAAATGTCATAGGCTTCTCTGGTTTCTGGCCCAATAGGAGGATTAGTCATCCATTTATCAATGACTGCCTTAGTAGCTCTGTGATGTGAGGTTTCACCCATGATAATGTCGGTGCATATAATTCGAAGTCCGTCAGTCATAAAGTAGGAATAATCCTCGAATAAAAACTCAAGTTTCTTGTAGAACCAGATGGTACTTTGAAAACGATCCAAGCCTGTATCATAGCATTCTTCTTTGAAAGCTGAGCCCCTAGGATGAAGTCTAGAGATTGTGATAATTTCCCATATTTGTAAGTTCGAAAAATAGTCAGGACCGCTTCGTTCATGTAGGGTAGCTGTGATGTTAAATTGAAGGTGTGCCAGAGTTATTGGAGATAAGAAAATGACAGTCTTGATAATGGTTGGTAGACTCTTAAGCCTCATCGGATTGTAGAAGAATGGAAGTTCTCTTGAGACTCTTAACTCATAAACAAGTCCAGCATCTATGAGCGGGATGTAAAGAGGACTGTCATGAAGATTAATCGCGAATCTGGGAGAGCCACCTGTTATAGGAATTGTATGGTCCTTATGATCTTTTAAAAAGGAGACAATTTTTTCATCTTCAACTTTTTCTTTAATAACGTCTTGAATATCTTGAGGCAAAATGTTTAGTTTAGACCATAGTTGCTCTCTGTTAAGACGTTCCATGCAGATATTTTGTTGAATATATTCAGGTATTCCAATGATTTGAAACATCTCGTGAGATGTTAGAGTAATTTTATTGGAATAAGGATAGAGATAATTAATCTCATACGAAAGATCTATAAAATTTTCTTTCAGCTGATGGTTCTGGTTAAGAAATTGCTCATCTTTTTCTTTTAAAAGATTGACCAGATGAGTCATATGAACTCTAATTTGCCTTTTTTCTTGAGCGCAGATGCTGTTCCATAAGTTATTAACAAGCATATAATCAGGATATTTTAATCCTGGATTATAAAAGTATTTTGTCCTTTTTACAGGAGATGCTGAAGTTAAGCAAGAAGATTTTCCTTTACCTTGCAAGATTAAAGCTTGATGAGTCATTTTTTTCCTGCAAAATATTTGAAAATGTATATTTGAGGTTAGTATTTCATTAAAATAACGAAAGAATATTTCTAGTTGTTTCTAATGTTCTTCAAAATTACTTGAAAAGAGAATTATCACAGTAGGCAGCAGGATGACAAATTCTCTACATTTATGGAGATATTGTTCTAAGAATTTCAGATATTTTTGTTGAAAATGAGTAAAACCTGGCGGCCTTCTCCTTCCAGTATAAAAGGAGAAAGGAAGAATGAGAACAGTTTTCCATCTATTTTCTTCTAAAATCTGCATTTGCCAAAAACCCATTTTGATGTAAAATTTTGAGAAAATTCTTCCATGTATAATATTTTCAATTTGATAATCTAGTACTTGATAATTAACCCAGACCAAATTATTTGAGTTCTTGTAATCAATAATTTGACTAGCAACTCCATGTTCAGAGTAATTGTCAGGGTCCAAACAGCATGTGTTATAATCATCTTTTATTAAATTGTTTTTGATAAAATTTTCAATTTCTTCTCTGCAGACGGTCAGAAGATTTTCATCCATTTGTATTGGTATATTAAAATATCTTTTATCAAAAGGGATACGAGAGAATTCTTTAATATATGAAAGACGAATGTGCCTTTTATTATTAAGAATTTTTGTGTTAAAAGAGTCCGGACAATCTTTGTCTTCAGTATTAGAAAGAACATTTATAAATTTTTCTTTAAATTCTAAAGCAGAGAATAAGCGGTTAACTAACATATTTTCTGGTTCTTTATTAAACCAAAAAGAGATGTTGGGGTCTCCAGCCTGCGTATGTATACCATGAGCATCTACAATAAAAGGTTTAAGATTATTGATAAAAGGAGTTCCCAAAATAATACCTTGTTTGAGGTCTTTGAAAAGAACAAAAGAAGTCTTATTTTTTTGACCTCCATTGCAAATGTAAACATTAGAGAGTTTATATCGGGCTTTAAGAGCTTGTCCATTAGCTGCACTGACAAGATGAGATGTTTTCTCATAAAATCTAAGAGGCACAAGATCTTCTCTAATACAATTTACATCTGCTCCAGTATCGATAAGGGCTGTGTGTTGGACAGAGTATTCGTTCATAATGTTAAGCATGATATTACATCTCCATTTTTTCTCAATATATTTTTCTATAGAATTTATAAATTCATTATCTTGTTCATGTCCAAAGGTTTTTGTTTCTATGAAACCTTTAGATTCTTCTATGGTTTTATTCTCTGAGTAAGTTTCTAAAATTTTTATTTTTTGTTTTAGTTCAAGAAGTTCTATTTTTATTTTTCCTTGTTCTTTTTGGAGTTATTCAAGATTTACTTTACTCTCAATCTTTTTTTCACTTTGAATTCTGTTTATAATTTCAGAGAAAGTAAAATATTCGTTGTCTTTCTTTTTCTCAAGAACTTTTGTTAGATTTTCCCCCTTGTTTTTGGTCATTTCAAGATACTTAGATAATTGCGTTCTTTTTTCTTGTGGATCAGTGATAGCATCTATAGTGTCAAGAATAAATTTTTCGTGTTCGCTTAAATTGTTTAACTGGGAAGTTTCTGAAGAGCTTTCAGAAAAGTTAAAACAAGTGCAAAGATTGTTGCATAGATCTTCATGATCTGAGGAATCATTATCACTAAGTTTTAAAGTATTAACAAACTTATCAATTTCTTCTGTAGTAAATTCTTTGGAGTCTAATAGAAGTTCATTGACTTTAGTTCTTAGATCTTTTTGTAGACATTTATTAGCATAATGCCCCTTCTTTTTGCATTTATAACAAGTAGGGGTTTTGTTAGTATTTTTTCTAGTCTTTCTTTTAGGAGATTCTTCTTTCTTTATACTTCTTGGATTCTGTCGTTTTTTATAATTTATAATTTTTGGGTTCTCCATTATATATATATATGAGATTAATGGGTATCCTTATCAATGAGGGGATTTCCCTCCTTGATGCCTATGTGGCACAACCCCACACCATCCTCATAAAGTATGAGAGTGTGTGTGAGTTTGTGAGGATTGTGCCACATAGGTGTTAAGGAGGAAAATTCCCTCCTTGACATAGGACACCTATTATCTCTCTCTCTCTCTCTTCTCATCTCTCTCTCCTCTCTCTCTATATATATATATATATATATATATATATATAATATATATATAATATCATATATGTGTGTGTGTATATAATATTATAAGATTTTATTGTTGGAATTTTCTCCTCTTGAAAGGACAGAACATTTTATCGTTTTACTTTTTTGCATCGGGATGTAATCATTCTGTATTACAAAAAGCAGGAGCGTTATCTCCATTTTTTTTGGACATTATGCCCGTATTTAATTTGTACCTGTTGGACATGTGATCCAATGATTAGAAAAGTGATGGAGGCGGAATCTTCTCCTCTTAGAAGGACTATCGATTTTCATGTAGAAGATATTGCATATGATGCACTTATGTCAGAGGTGTAGTTTGGCAGCAGTTAGGTCTGAATCAGTTTTGGTTTGAATAAAGAGTCATTCCTCAATCTAAATTAAGCTCGGGTATGGTTGTCCATTTATTTCAAGTTTTCAACCCAAATGTAAAATCTTCAGCCTTATCTAGCGAATTTCGTAGACTGGGGTTCTTGTTGTCTATTTTGATTCCACCCAAATTGCATCCCTAAACAATTCCCCCTTATGTTTATCTAACTTTGATTATTCTTCAATTGAACTCTTATCCTAACATTTTTTACTTGCAATGCACCTATATAATGAGAGGGTTGTGGGTATTCTTGGTACTAAGGACCAAATTTGGTCATTGGTAATGATGTGCCAATTCTCATCCACTTATTTAATGAGTGAGTAATCAAGTGGGGACCATTTTCAAATGGACAACTTTAAATAAGTTGGTGGGAATTGACCATGTCACAACCAGGCACCAATTTTGTACTTGGTACAAAGGATACTCATTTTTCTCATATAATAACACATTAAATGCTTTTTTCCTGTGTCCTAAACATAAACTGAGGAGTAAGGATAACTGTTGGATGCGTCATAAATTGTTAGTGTAGGTGATATATCTATATATCAGTGTGTGCGGCGCACGCACGCTCACACGCACATGCTAGATATTAGCCACTACCTTAATTAGCAAAATGAGCTAGATATAGGAGTGATGAGGTCCTTCTGCTCCGATGGGCCTCATTATTAGCCCATCTCTATATAACTCATTTAGCAAAATGACCACCCACCTCTTACCCATTTTCCCCTTTAAATACATGCACACACATATAAAAGAATACATCGATGAAGGGAGGGTATGTAACTAAGCTTACCATTGTCAAGTCAGAACATACCTAGGGACTGCATTTGCAGAAATTTATTCCATCCACTTTGGATCCACTGTAAGTTTGTACGATCCAGGGATCTAAACCAAAGGTCTAGGTCCCACATGAGGACCCAAATCTAATAACTTATCTGATGCAAGATATGGATTCTTGTTCCAAACTCTGACTATAAAATATAAATTCAACATTTATCTTGAAATGTTCCTATTTCATCAAGAACTAAATAAAGTTTATAATATTCTTTTAACTTAAATCTATTCTTAATTTTGTTTTAGCATTGAACATGTCTGTAACTGATCAGAAGGGTTTCCAAAATTATTTTTATGAAGTTATTATTGGACATTATGAAGAATTAAACTTATATAAATGTACAGGGAGGAAAAAAATGATTAAGCAACAAGCAGAAAAGGAAATAGGTTTTGATACAAATTAAATGTGGATATTTGTTTATTAAACTACAAGTTTGGATCCTTTAAAAGTCATATCTTGATCCAGTAAGGAATCAATCTATTTAGGAGTTCATACTGAAGCAATAAACTATTTGATATGATTAGCAGGATAAACCTAAAACTTACTTCTGTGTAAATCCACTTTTCATTGGGTCCCATTGCCACTCCAAAACATGCTTGAGTGAAATAATTATTTCATAAAAAATGAAATGATGGAAAGAAATAATAAGATTAGGAAATTATCCAGGACGAATGCTGAAGGCTGAAAGCGAATATGTAGGGGATGGCTTCCTAAATTTCCTTTGTCCTGTGTTCCCTTTATATAGCTCTTTATGGATTCCTCTGATGCAAAACTCTTTTATACTGGGAAGTTGGATTAACAACATTATGTTTCCAGTCTGAGCTTCTGATATTTTGCTATGAGTTTATTACTAAAAGTTACCTTTTGACTTTCACATCTTGCTCCAAAATAGCACAAGTGTTTCAGAATAAGGTCTTTTATGGAGTTGACATCCTTCTATATGGTGCAGGTAAAGCTTGTTCATCCACACGAGGTTCTCACTTCCATAACTGGTTACTATGGATCAGTTTCAGTTTCCAGTCCGGTTGTCATAAGATCACTGACATTTACCAGCAACATTGCCAAATATGGACCTTTTGGCTTGGAGCAAGGAATACATTTTTCATTCCCGATGATTGGTGATAAAATTGTGGGTTTTCATGGGAGCTCAGGCAGGTATCTTGATTCCATAGGATTTTATCTAAATCAAGCACATAATCCAACTCCATCAAAAGCTTTGGTTCCATCGCAACGTCAAATTGGTTATAATGTGGTAGAGGGAACTGCTAGCAAAGGATATAATGCTGCAGGGGGCAATTTAAATGTTATATCCAACAAGTATACGTGGGAAGCTTCGTCAGATGAGGAGTTCAATGTTGTGGCTCCAAAGAAGAAGGTAGATAATCCTCTCCCTTGCAAGGATACAAGATAAAATCATGGTGTTCGTCTCTGCTACCAAAGTAGCAATAAAATAGATGTAAAGGTTTTCCATAGAACTTAATTATGGATGATCTTTCCTCCTTATAACTCAATAATATCTTAGTAGATAACCGATCCATTATTTGAAAGAGTTGCTGTTTATTTCAAATTGAACAATTCATGTAGAGTTTGTGGGAGAGAAATGAATGGATTGACAAATTTGTTGAGGAATGCTTTAACTTATTATGAGATTTGCAGTAGATAATGGTCAACCAGTGGTCAATCTAAAGAATTAGCTCGCTCTAACGTGGGCAATTAAGAGAAGCATTTGTTCAGTTTTCATTTCTCATGGTTTATGCAAAACCTTGACCAAATAAGCTCGGTTCTGACTAACTAAAAGAACCAAATGGTTCTGTTTGATTCCGTTAAATATCTTCATAGCCAGCTACCTGGAATAACTATGTCATTCTGAAAGTAAACACAAGTAAATTCATGGTGTCCCTGAACCAGAAAACTGAAATAAGAAAGGAAAAAAATGAATAACACAAAGAAAACAGAAAGCTAGTAAGATCAATTTCAAAAGAATGAATTATAGAAATGGATACCCCAGTGTGACTCCTAATAGGAAGGATTTGTGTCCGAATCATTCCCAAAGGATTACTCTCCCTCCTTCCCTCTCTCTATCTGGTGGCTGTGCATGTGCACATTTGTGAAAGTTCTGCAATGTATCTATATCTTTGTGACTACTAGTTTAAGATCTCACTCCAATTATTCAAACTGTATTGATTTTGTACACTGATAAATAAATTTGCAGGTGGTTTCTTTTCCTAGATTTACAACAGAGAAAAGATCATCTAGTATTGGTGGCCCTGTACCCTATGGTCCTTGGGGTGGAAGTGGTGGAACAATATTTGATGATGGCATATACACTGGAGTTAGGCAGATCAATTTATCTCGAAATGCTGCAATCACCTCACTAAAAGTGAAATATGATAGAAACGGGCAAGAAGTGTGGGGAAACAAGCAAGGAGGAACCGCAGGAATCATAACCGACAAGGTGAGCTAAGCTAGGAGACCTTTGGTTGTAGATTTATGTAAACTTATTTTCTTGAAAATGAAATTTAATTTTCTTTTTTTGCAGATAATATTTGATTATCCATTTGAGGTCTTGACGTATATTACTGGTTATTTTGGTCCCACTATGATGATAGGGCCAACTACTATAAGATCACTTACATTTCACACGACAAGAAGGAAATATGGACCATACGGAGATGAGGAAGGAACATTCTTCTCTTCTTGCTTGGCAGAAGGAATGGTTATAGGTTTTCATGGAAGGAGTGGATGGTACATTCATAGTATCGGAGTTTATGTTCTTGAAGGAAAACTATCACTGCCTCAAACTCCTGGTGTTCTATACAATGGAAATGATATGCAGTTGGAGATGTATAACTATCAGCAATCAAACAAGCTTGTTTCTACAAGCAGGGGAAATGAAGGGGAGGTAACTGGATCTTTGTTTATTGTTAATTTACATTCTGGGTTCCTACTGCATGTCTAAAATTGAAGTATGACATCTTAACAATTAATGCTATGTGACTTTATCATTTGATATTTGTGTATGCCATTTGATTCATAGTTCAGTGCAATCTGCTAGGAGTTTTTGATCTTTGCTATTGTTTTGCCATGCCTCTCTACAGGTACAATGGGCATCAAACATGAAAATGTAATTGATTTTATATATGTATCCAACCTGTAGTTTGCTTGTGTAGCCTTTATGAATAAATGTGATTCTTAAAAGATGATTTTGAATGATTAAGTTAGGGCTGACCATTAATTTGTTCAAAGGAGAATAAAGTTAGAAAACTAAGTTGATATGTTCAGGATTTTCTCTTATTAATTACCGTCACATAACTTTTTATGGTTTATGCACGCAATTGAGTTATGAATCAAAGTCCTCACTGAACTATATGATATAATTGCTACTGAAATTCACCAGGATATAGCAAAATGTCATTATTTGACATGTTCTTGCATCTCAATCAATGCATATACACAATGAACATTTATGGCGTAATAGGTAGATTGCATTTTATGGACCCTGTTGTCGACTAAAATTAAAATGTAGAAGGATGACCATGAGGTTCAGGATGACCTTGAGGTTGCAGCAAACATGAGATAATAATTAAAGGGTTTGATGGTTATAAGGTGGCAGCCTATTTAGCAAAATGAGCTACCAAGATATAGAAGTGTGATGTCCACACCTTGTGCTGTGACTTTTAGGGTGATCCTCATCACATGACTATCTCTTGGTAGCTCATTTAGCAAAATAAGCCACCACCTCATACCCATTATTTCCTAATTAAAGTTTTTGACATGGTTCAGGAAACAACTTGGAAAATGTGTTAGTTATTAATTTGTCAGTAAACTACCTATCAAACTGCTTCATCTAACTTTTAAACGAAAGAAATACTTTGGTCCTGTATTTCTCCTGAGAATCTTTGACTTCATAAAAATCTCAGAAATATCCCTGAATAATCATTTCCTAGTTATGCAAACAAATTGATTTTTTTTTTGTTATATTTTCCGGTACTATTGCATCAGGGATGTGACTGTTTACCAGAATTCTTTGAGCTAATCGTTAATGAACCATTTTTTACTTAAAAATAAAAAATTGTTATTCCAGACTCCTTGTCTGTATTTATCCAGTGCTCAATACATGCATTTCATTTATTTTAATTCTGATTTAGAGTAAATCATAATTATAATATTCAGTTCCTGTATACTTATACTATTTCTCGAAATTTTGCCGAATAGTTTATGTACAACTTCAAACTTTTAACAAGTTGTGCTACTCTTGAATACTGAACTTGTCACTATGATTTAAAGTTCAGGCAACTATTTCCAGTCATATATTCTTTGTAATGTCTAGGATAAAGTTTGAGTCTTATCCAACTACGTGCAAATTAGGTTATCTGTTTTTTTCTCTCCAATTTACCTATCAGCCCACATTAGCAAAGGACGTTTAATAATTTGCATTTTTCTTTGTACTGCATTTTTCATTTTGTTAACCAGATAGTTACTGTTAAGCTTTTCTGATGTTTAAGCTGAATCGTTCAGAACCAAACATCCTTTCAGGTTACATTTGGCGTGGTGAAAGAACCTGTTCCCTGTGGGCCAGGACCCTGGGGTGGAGATGGAGGCAAACCATGGGATGATGGAGTATATACAGGAATCAGGCAAATTTATATCACAATAGGAGATTTCATAAACTCAATCCAGCTTGAGTATGATAGAGGTGGCCAGTCTGTTTGGTCTACAAGGCATGGAAGTGGTGGAGAGAAGACCATCAGGGTATTAACAAATTCTACTACCAATGCATTGAACATCCAAGTTTCTACCTATTTATGAAATGCCTTATAATTTGGTATTTGAGTAAAATACAAGAAACCCCCTTCATATGTACCCTGCTTTTCAAGAATCCCCTCGTGCTAAAAAGTTCGATGAATACTACCCCCGTTAATAAAATCGTTAATTGTGTAACTGGGTTTTATTCTTCAGACGTCTAGGCAGTCACTTGCATTTGGATAGATGTTAGAACAAACATATGCACTTCAAAATTCACAATTTTTGGGGGTTGAAAATAGGAAAATAGATAAGAAAGTTAGTTATTGAATCGGGAAATAAGACAACCTTTCATCATTAATCTAGACTTCTTGATGCAAACGCCTATCCAGACGTCTAAATGATCAAAACTTCATTACGGAACAAAATATTATTAATGATCATCTCAGTTGCATGAAAACGGTACAGGTACTGACACGGGTGTGGGTACGGGTACGGGACACGACAAAATTGTAAAATGTAGGGTATGGAGAGACGGCTACATATGTATATTGAGGTTAATAATTTACATGAGATTATTATTTTCTTCAATTCATGTGTTATTAGAATTAAAATTCCTATTATGTTTTTTAGTTTTTTCTAATATGTTGATTATTATAAATTGGAAGCTACTCGGATTTGAACCAGACACCCAAACGATCCTTTAAAATCACTGTTTTGAACTAGGGTATGGGCTGAAACAAATCCGAGCTATCTAACGAGTTTCAAGAAATGAGAAATGGAGGTGAGCATTGTGAGGTGTAAGATATGCATTCAAGAAGTGTTTGGCAGGTGTTTTAAATTAAAACTTATATCATATAATTGAGCACATGTATGATAAAATGTATGCATATATCCAAGGAGTGTCCATGAAGTTTGGCTATGGATAAGTATCGGGTACGTGTCGGGTTACGGGTAAGGCTTCATGATAGAAGTACCCGGGTAACATAGATGATCGTAGATGACAGTTTCTTTGTTAACTTTTTAGATGAGAGGGTTTCTCGAAAAACATGGTGTAGATGAATAAGACTTGTAGTTTTTTATAATTTACTCTTGATAATTTATTTTCAGATAAAGTTTGATTACCCGAATGAGGTCCTTAACTGCATTAGTGGCTATATCAGTTCCATTGCCTCCGATGGAAATCACAGTGTTGTAAAATCACTTACATTCCATACTACCAGAGGGAAGTATGGACCATTTGGGGAAGAGCTCGGAACATATTTTACTTCTATGACCACACAAGGAAAGGTGGTTGGATTCCATGGAAGATGTGGGCTTTATTTGGATGCAATTGGAGTTCACATGCAGCACTGGCTGGGTGAGAGGAAACAAGCAGGCAAGTCTATACTTTCCAAGTATTTCTTCTAAGTAACATGGAGAAGGGGAAAAAAAAAAACTAAGCTTACAAATCTGCCACGATGAATGCTCTTTGTTTGTAATCTAAATGAGCAGTATTTGATGATGTTCTGAGCTGTTAAAGCTGAAGTATTGCTCCAATTGTTATATGCAAAAAGTGGTATGACATGAAAAATGCTTTATTCATATATGATTGACTTGTTATTTTGTGTCATGGTCATTGATATCTATGATAATATGCACCAGTCACTGTAGAGGGGTCCACGAGGTTAAGTTTTACTTTTTTTTTTCCTAGGTAATTGGCTCGAGGCCCACACTTTCAATTTTCTCTTCCTCTTGATATTGATGCTTTCCTTCGTCTGAAATATAACACTACTGAATTCAATGGTTACTAGTAACAAAATTGTCGACAAAAACAGTAACAAATCCTAAAACCATGATGTAAAGAAATTACGTACAATTGAATTGTCGACAAAAACAGTAACAAATCCTAAAACCATGATGTAAAATTGTTGACAAAAACAGTAACAAAATTTTCTCATCCTCTTGATATTGAATTCAATGGTTACTAGCCAAACAATTGAACGAAACTCGCTCCTGACGATATGGGAAGAAACATAATCTTCACTCCACTTATTTCAGTTCATCGTCATCCTTGCTCGTCTTCAGCTGAACCAAGTAAAGAAACGGCCTTGATCGCTTAACATTATCCTATTTGTTGACTGGGTTTCTTCCTCTCTTCTTCGTTTCTTCTTCCATCTATCAATCACATAAGGAAAATGCAAAACCTTTGGCTCCTACCTTTGGCATGCATCCACTTAAAAGTATGTAATATCACTATTCTTAACAAAACCTGCTGCTATCCATCAAAAGCACTATTGCCTCTCTCTCTCTCTCTCTCTCTCTCTCTCTCTGTCTCTCTATCCAGTCAAGAAATGTCCCTCTAAAGCTGAATCCCTCTCTGGTGGACATATCAATCAACTTTTAATTTCCTCTTCACTCAATTGCAGGGGGGAAAAAAAATTAAAAAATCTATGATGCCGTTAAGATTTTGTGCTTGTCTTCATTGTCAGCATCCAGCGTGCCCACTAGCTTCACAGTAGTTGTGTGAAGAAAGTTGGTGGAGCAAGGATGCTTGCCACTAGAGAGACCACAACCCCAATTCACAAACACCTAGCTAGTCTATTTTACAAAGGTCCTCAAAAGGAGGTAGGGTTCAAAACTTACTTTCCTTTTGCATTGTAAAAAAAAACCTAATACTAGCTTCGGAGAACTTTTGTGTGACACGATATCAAAGATCAAACTCCCACGGGGTAAAGCAAAAGGGACAGAGATACTGCTGAATGCTGTCTGCCTTAAAATTTGCATGAGGTTCTAAACATTTTGCCACTTTAAAGATACATCCCCATCTTTTGAAGACAAAGGCCATGCTCCCATATCTCCATGGGTATCTCCCCAACAGACACAAAATCTTGGGTCAAGTCCAGGACTACGCCCACATGCTCAAATCTTTTTTCTGCAAAGCTGGCTTGAGGGTTACAATTAACTTTGGCAAGTCAAAACCTAAGTCTCCTAGCCTGGGGCAGAACACAATATATATCAAAAGACTATTTGATAAGGGGCTTCCTCTATAGAGGTGAGTGAGGTGGAGGCATCTTTCACTCTCAACTTTTGAGGAACCAAAGAGAGCTTTGCATGGCTTCTTTCTCTTTGTTTTCCTTTTTCGGTTGGATTTTACTAGAAGCCCCCTTGAACTTTGGGGTGTCTTTCATAAAACCCGTCTGGCCTTTTTTTAAACAAGAGACAACCCCCCTGAACTATTGAAAAAAAATCTCAGAACGCTGCGGCAAGTTAGAGTTAAGAAGCCTTAAATATGCGCCTGATTGCGCCGCGTCTTGCTCTCCCACATAAATGCTCTACTTGTTAACTCCGTTCATGAGATTTTGAAAGTTCACGGGGCCGTCTCTGATTTATAAGGTTTGGGAAGCTAGTCGTGCAAAACCCCTCCAAGTTCAACGGGGTTTTGTGAAGTTATACCTTTTTTCGTTCCTTTTTTAGTTTTGAAGCCTAAAGCATATGCGACCCGAGGTCACATGCCCATATTATTCTCCAAGTTGTGTATGTGTCCATATTTGGCTGAGCATAACATCATTAGCATCATCAAAGTGGGGGGGATGCCTTGATAAAGCATCACCATCCATATCCATGTTTGGGTTTCTGTTTCGTAGCACACTGCTTAATTAGTTCCCTATTCCCAGGCTTTTGATGGGTTTTGTTTAGTTAAAAGTATTAGGCAACAATACATCTTCAGTAGGGAAGAGAAGGGACAGGGAAATCTTAAATACATTTCTTAAGCTCCTCTTTTGCATCCCCATTATCTTTTAACTTTACTTTTGCTGTCCCATGCGTTAACATCAGGTTCCATTAATTTGCCAAGAGTAGTAATAAAGAATATGGCCTCGTTCATGAATGCGGTTGTATATTATTAGTACTTTATTTAGCGTGGGCTTATTCCTTCTTAGCTGGAGTACTTTGGTGGTAGGGAAACCAAGTTGAGTAGTCCCAGCTCGACACAGATGACATATGACTCAAACATCCATTTTATCTATTCAACAATAGATTTATAGGTGTTAAAAAAAAAGCAATTTCCGGTCTTTATATAACTTTACTTAAGGATGAAGCTTAAACAAAATACTCTGTTGTTTCGTACGTAAATGGAATCGATCATCATCACGATCACCATCGTCGTCGTTGTCTGTATATGTCTTTCGTTGTGAAAAATTAAATGAATAGTGCTCCGTGTAGCTTAAATTAACTATTGGCAACGGCGCGAGTTTATTAACAACGTTACCAACTGGAAAAATAATAACTGGGGATTTTCAGGTCCGTGCACGTTTAGCATGTTAGTTCAAAGTCATGAAGAGATAAAGTCACTGTGTGCTCTTTGCCATATTCTAGAATTGTCAGGGCTTTCTTTCGCGAGGGTCAAGAGATCATTAGATTCTTCGAATGCTTCTACATGTGTTATATTTGCACGTACCTTCACCTAGAAGCCTGTTAGGTTGATCACCATAGAATTAATGGACCCAATATTTAACAAGCATCGCTTTCTTTTTCTTTCCTTGGGTTGGAAAGTAACCTGACTAATTGTAATCTGTCATGCTTTTAGAACGTAAAAAAAAGGAAAAAAAAAAAAAAAAAAAAAAAAAAAAAAAAAATTTTAAAAAAAAAAAAAAAAAAAAAAAAAAAAAAAAAAAAAAAAAAAAATCCTTCTATCATGACTCTGATAACTGATTACTTGGTTCGATTTTTTTATCTCCGGGAACACATTCAGAAGTACAAAGTTCTAATTCATCGGCTCATAAAATTCTTCAGTAGTAGAAGGGAAAGAACCAACGTTGAGTTCCATATATCCTTGACCGTAGCTTGTTTTTTTTTTTTTTTTTACGAATGCCTTAGAATGATGTTATCAGCTTAATTAGTGTTTGATATCATGCATAACTCCTGATATTGGCTCAGTTTCTTTTCTAGTGGTGGTCTTGAGCCATTCTTGACTAAATAACGTGCGGTACATATGATTCCACAGAAAGATCGGACAAAATCATTATTCGCCTTTGACACGTCAGGATCTGATTATTCCAAGCATAAAACAGCACTACAGGGAATGTAGGATATTGGTCAACAAGCAAATATTCTTCGTAATCTAAAAGCTTCTACCATGAGAACGAACATATTAAAAGCATTACAATTCTAATTAATTATTCAAGATATATCATGTTAGTTAGGTACGTAATTCGATCGGGATCTCCATCATTTCAGCTTTGTGCTGTTAATTTGTCACGATTGCCGAAAAGTTGAAGCCGGTCGCTCTATTAATTTATCACCATCGACCAGTGACCTCATCTCCTCCGACCTTGGGACCCCTTCCTCATGGAATGTGCACAAAATATCGGAGAGGGCACGCCCTCTTTCGCTCAGCTAGTCCACGTACATCAGCTTTTACTCAGCCAATTAATTGCCATGTCGTCGGATAGAAACAACAGATGTTTGTCCTGACTAAAAGGACTTCCACTGTGCCGAAGAAAATCATTCGCGATCCGACAGGGTATCTGTGTGACAAAAGTGTTTATTGCAAAGGATGCCCTAACTTTACAATTAGATGTACCTTAAATTAATTGATTTTTTTAACCGACCAACCAGGTTCATGTACTCGGGTGAGGATCGATATGTTGGGGAAAGCGGGGTGATTGATTGAACTTTTTCCCCTTTCCCGGTAGATAAAAACGGATTAGGACGACAAGTAATAGTAAAATGACCACGGGAGATAATCAGCAGAACACCAATATTTTTTAACGTGTGTGGAGAACCCTTCAACTGAAGGTAAAACCTACAAGGCCTAGTCCAGAAAAAAAAAATTTAAACTGGTTAAATGCATCTTACTTATAGGCAAGAGCATTTCATGTGAATGAGACAATACACCTCAAAATAAGGTAAGCTACAACACTAGGTAGTAGCTCACTTTATAGCTCACAGTTGTTGACATAAGTATCAACAATTACTTTCATGTGTTTCACCAAAATCTCGCACGCAGAAGACTCCGCCGTCCCACATTTTTCATTGTGTGACTTCTAAATGTGGTAGGACCCATACAACATTTCTCCCTCTCTTGACTATTTTGAGAGGTCCATCCCTACCATCTTTATAGAGAGTTCAAACTTGTCCCATGGGATGGCCTTCATCATCATATCGGCATGATTCCTATCAGTATATATGGATCTTCTGCAGTAGCATATGCTTCTCTTCCGTTATGTCTCATAACCAATGTTATCTCACGTCAATGTGCTTCGTCCGAGAATAGTACATATTGTTCTTACTGCGATCAATAGTGCTCTGATTGTCACAGTGCACGATGTACTCATCCTACTTCAAACCCAGTTCCTAGCGAAGTCTTTTCATCCACAACATTTTTTTGCTTGCTTCTGCAGCTGTAATATACCCTATTTCTATATTGAATAAAGCAACACACTCTTGCAGCTTGACTACCAAGATATAGCCCCCCCTGCAAAAGTAAATAAATATCTAGATGTAAACTTTCTGTTATCAAGATCACCTGATATGTCAGCATCTGTATAGCCATTCAGAATTGGTTTGGAACTGCCAAATGTTAAGCACAATCTTGAACCGTC